CCATGGGAAGACGTGGGACCGACAGATACACAATAGGGTGTCGTCGGAGTAGGATCCAGATTAGGCAGTTCGCCAAGCGACTAGACGGAGCCGAATCCTCGAGCCATTTTTAGTGATCGATGGCACCAAATATCACACGGCGCCAGGGATCCCTCATCGGCCCACACGGTCTCATCTCGATCTTGGTTCGATTCCGAAGAGGACTAGAGCGGCTCCTAGTTTCTCCATAGCGAAGTGAAATATGTACAGTGAAGCCTCTTCCGTCGTGCCTATTCGGTTCTGCAACCATTCGCGATGGGTGAGAATCCGCATCGTACACACAGGGAATCCACCTCTATCGAGCACGCCCAATTCACAGATAAAACGTCTATATTTTGAATGACAGGTTTGTTGTCGTTGACGTCCTCGCATTCGAGACTCCCTCCTCATTTTGACCATGATTACAATAATAATAATATGCCTGACAATTGATGATACAGAGTCCCGGCCGGAAAGTCCTCAGGAAGTGACCGTGGCCAGCCCACGGCAGTCATTCTCTTCCGCAAACTGCTGGTCTCACTCTTCCACGGTGTATTCGCAAAAAGTCTCCCTCCTGCCAAGGCTTTCTCTGACGTAAGAAGAGACCTAGACCGAGCTGGCTTGCCGACTAGTTCGCTCGCTTGCCGCCCTCTTTTCACTTGCGGCCGGCTTGCTGCTCACCCTAACAAGCTTCCAGACACATCCAAATGAATCCCCAACGTTCCCCTCCCTCATGCATACGGGCAGATGCAATTTCATTCCCCGAGCGAGCGAAGGTGGAAGACACCTCCCCGATGAGACCTCAAGGGTATCGGATCGTCTCAGCGGCATACCCGTTCTCCGTGTGGATTTCAGTCTAGGGAACGGGGGACAATCTGACAACACGACGCACCAGACCGCTTCCCCTACCGCACTCTAAGTTCTTTCACTATACAGGATTCATTGTTTGTCTCTAAAAAATCATGTTCCGATGCGGCGACGGGCATGTCGCTTGTCTCTGAGGATTCCCCAAACCGTTCTCGCTCCCCGCGCGCATACCCATTCACTTGTTGACCATCAAATCTCAGTCACACTGCCGCCACGAAGCCGCTTGACGATCGTCGACCACGTTGAATTCGCTCGTTGTCGCCGATTGGTCGGATCGACTTGGTCTCAGGCGCCGACAGACCGCGGTTTGTCGGTGACAAATAATAACAAGGGAGGAATCCCGAACAGCGAGGAATTTCTAACATGTTCGAATCTCATCGAGTGTCCGGTAGAGACTTTTCATTCCACGGTTCCCGAAGCTGCAGAGACATTTTGCCCTGCTCGGCCCGACAGCCGCGGCGCGGGAATAACGTCACTTTCTTCCTTATTTTTTTTTCATTTCTTAAGACGAGGACTTCGTTCCAGGTCACTTCTCGAGATTCCGATGCCACAGATGATCGGTGGATGGCCCGCCCTCCGGGCGCGAATGGGTGGCAACTGTACGCAACGATTTCGGAATCTCCCTAAGAAGTTAGTGTTTCTGCGAGCCTGTTTGCGCGGAACCCTTCTCCAAGTGTTGTTAATGATCGTATATGAGCTTAGATAAACAGCATCGATACTCCGCCAGATTTACGAGCGTTTCGTTCGTTTTGCGTGAGTGAGAGCGATAGTTGGAGCAAACAATTCGACCTAGCGACCGACGAGCGATCGGGCAGACAGACAGACAGAAGCATGAACGAATTGACTTGCAGACTCGCCGCCACCACCACCGCCAGCATCATCATCATCGCAACCATCATCATCACCGTAGCGAGCCACACCACTATAGAGAGCGCCAGTCGGCTAGCCAGCGCCCTGTCAGCCAGCCACACCGGTAAACTGACCCTCGGAGCAGCGACTGTTATTGCTGCTGATGCTGTCAGAGCTTCTGGCAGCTCTCAAGTGAGCTTGCTATGCAGTTGCTGCACCGAACTCTCGTTCGTCGGACCTGACCCGAAGAACCTCCTGCTCACTGTCGACATAATCCGCAAACGAAAGTCCATCCGACTCTAGGTGGAGCCGCCTCTCTGCCGATGTCCAACTCAGATCGCTTCGGAACGTCGTTCCCCCCACGGCCGCTCCGAACGTCGAGGGCCAAGTGCCGGACAATGTTTCGGTCTGTCGGCCGTCCCGTCTTTGCTCGACGGAGGAGGGGTCAAAGAGTTTCAATGGGGGAACGCCTTTGGAGCGGACTCCAACAAGCTTGCAGGACGCGGAAGCATGTCGTGTGCAGAGATCCAGACGCTTCTTGAGAGCTTTCGTTTTCGGGGTGTCAGAGTCAGACAGTTTTCGACATTTCGGATGACCGGCAGACCGGTCTGCTCTTCTCGTCGTGGCTCGGAGGGACGTCAACCCCCTGCTTCTCTTCTTTCCCCACTGCCCCCTCCGCCCCTCCCCTCCGGCCCCACGACCGTAGCGGCAAGCAACGATCGAAGGCTTCTCTTTCGCCTTCCCCGCAACACTTCGAATACAGCCCCGACCGGACGGTAAGCGAACACCCAACGCTCCGGGACGGCCGACATACCACTGAACGATGAAGCAAACGACCAACCGGATGACGCTCTAACTCGTCGGCGATAGCGGAGCGTGGATTTGAATTACGCCCCCAGATAACGTCTCTCGGATCTGATATGTGCCTCGATTCCCTCGAAATACGCATGTCGGAGGCGTTCAATGATTCAAAGCCTCGGGTCGCCGTGGACCGGAGAGGAATTCAGGGGCTGAGGGATCCCGCTGCAAGCAGAAGGCGGGAACTTTATTCAGGCTCTCCAGCGGAATGCCTTGCCGCAGATCCGAATCATCCGGCCGGTGCGGATCAGTCGCGCTCCCTGAACCTGTTTTTCGACGCCGGCGCGGCGCCCGGGGGCATGGGACAGCGTCGAGGGGAGCATACGACAGACGAGCTGTCTGCAAGACGGTCCACGGGTCTATCCATGGGCGACGAGGAACACTTATTCGTGTGTGGAAGATCACTTGTCGAGACAATAGCTTTATGAAGACACTTGTAGAATTGTATCTAAAAATACAGTCTGATAGAGCAGTCCTTGTTATATATTTAGTTTATACTGAGCCCGGCTAGCTGGCTGCGGGTCTGGCCGGCCGGCCGACCGACCAACCGGCCGGCCTGTCTGCCTACCGAGCCGGCGGCCGAGCGGCGAACCGACCAAGCAGGCAAGCAAGCGACTGAGCGACCTGCGAAGCGTCGGTCTGAGCAGTCGGGCCGCTAGCGAACCAACTAGGCAGGGATGCAGTGCGCGATTGCTTCTGTACGAGAATTGCTTTTTAGTCAAGCACACGCAGTTGTCGAGGATGAAAGTCATTATGCGAGATTTGAAAACACCCTCGTCCGAATATAGCAAGCGGTCCGACTGGGATCTTTTATATCATCTCCCCTTCCCTCGACAGTTCCGGCGCGGCCTTCTTTCTACCACGGGTACGGAAGGGACGGCGGTAACGGCGTCAGCGGCTCGACGGCAATGCGAGCATAGGAGGCATCAAGAGATTCCAGATGAGACGGCTGAAAACGCATGGAGCAGCAAACTCCACACCGACGATGGATCGCCGATCGTGAGAATGCTTCCCGTATAATACGTGTTCGCGCTCAGGTGCGGAGATGTCTCAGCCAGATACAAATCTATCGAGATGCGCACAGAATCACAGACGCCTCCCACTTGTTAAGAGTCAGAGTCGATACGGGAAAACAATAGGAGAAGCAAGTCTGACGGGCAGATGTCATCTTGAAGAACGCCTGTGCTTAGATCTGCACTGAAAGCTAGCGATCCGTAGAATAACATTTCGATCAAACATTCATAGTGCTCGGCGTCTTCGATGTGACAGATCGTCATGAGAATCTCATGAAAAGTCGCTCTTCCGTTCTGTCCGAGTAGCCTGGTGTCGAGGGGAGTGCATTCGCTCCCCGATTGGCTCTGTCCGTTTGGTGTATGTACACGAAGGCTGGTCGATATTCTCAAGTGCGGTATTCCCTGCTCAAGCCTCCAAGTCTTCTGGGCTCGATATGCGGCGATATCTCGTCAATAATATTATGATCACGGGGAGGATTGATCCTTTAGCGTCAAGGGAAAAATACGCGCAGTAGAGCACGTCTTCCCGCTATTCGACGAAAAGCAATCGGACTCGCGTCGGCCGGACATTCAGCAGCGGGGCTCAGATATGATCGGGAATTCTTAGTCTGTCTATGTGAATTTCCTGTGAGGGCAAACCGTCGATTGAGGGTTTGCTCTTTCCGTCTGTCCATCACTGCTTTGGCTTCCGGAGATCACGATGCTCCCCGACAATGATGATTGCAAAACTGAGTCAGAAGATCACGGCGTCGCGCGATCAAATTATTTCGAGAATTCGAAGAAGTCCCAGAGAGATTATTTACCGAGTCACGGTGCATCGTGCATCGCACGATTGCAGAAGCTGTTATTCACTGACATGCAGCCGAAGATTTCTGACATAACAACACTCAGGAGTTCTGCCGGACGTATGACTCAGGTGAGTTAGCCGCAATACGTCCGGGTCCCGACTCCAGATTAACCGTGATACTCGAAGCCTCGTTTCGATAGGCGGAATAGAATCTCCAGGAGCTGCTCTCACTCACAGCCCGATTGGCTTATCACTGTTGCCGTCTCTCTTTTGACGTCTCGGGACTTTCCACGGAGGAAACCTCAGCTCCCATTCAGGAAAAAAACCAATCGCCCCCGGTACGCTAGATATGCCCACGGTTTCGGAGGCTCACAGGCCTCAGAAATGATATTCCGGACGAGTATGCACTATATAATTATTAAGACGCTCGGCTTCTGTGAAGAGCCGTCCGGGACAGCCGAGAAATTCTACAGTTTCATGAAGTGAAGCTGAGGCGGCGAATGTTTCATGGTCCTGAAGTTCGGGAACTGACTAAACTCGCTGAAAATCTTTTTCGAGAATTATCTTTCGAAGCTACTCTACGGTTCCATCTAAGAAATCCAACTCACCCAAGTGTGGTCATCGTAACGATTGTGTACCAAAACGCGGCCGGAATTGAGGTGAATGTGGTTTCATCGACGTTCTTCTCTGCGTAGAACATGACTGTGGCGAAGATGATGATGGCCATGGCCAGCGAGAACACTAGGAAGCCCAGTTCGGAGGCGCACGACTTGAGTGTATAGCCCAGAATTCGCAGTCCTTGTGAATGACGCGAAAATTTGAAAATTCGGAAGACTCGGAACACACGAAGAGTGACGAACGCGCCGGATACGTCTCCGTTGTCCTTAATGCCAAGGCCGATGTAATACGGCATGATGGCGACTACGTCGATAACGCTCATAACGCTGCGTACGAATTTGCAGCGTGCCGGTGCGGCGTATAGCCGCAGTAGGTATTCAGCTGTGAAAATCATGACACACGCAGTGTCCAAACAAAAAAAGGCGACTTTATAATTTTCGCCGCACGGTATTTTCTCGCCCGTCCCAACATCAATACCACAGGGCACTGTTTCCACCACATTGGCTCCGACGGAGACCGCAATGAAAAAGCCTGTCACATAGTAGAACACTAGAGCTGCGGTACTGGTGTGCGGGTTTTCGAAGGCTCTCCACATCCTCTGTCGCAGGGTTGAGTTCGCCAGCTGCGTTTGCTCGTTTCCTTCGGACATTTTGTCATCGAGCAATCGTTCAGCATTCTCTCTCTTTCTGTCCCTATAGTCCTCATAGCAGCAGTCCCCGATGACGTCGGGGACAATGCCGAAGAACGCTAACTCTTCATCATACGACATTAAACATTCGTGTTTCGGGTAGTGCAGCTTGCCCGTCCGATAATAGTTGAGAATATGTCGGAATATGTCTGGATCCCGATCGAAGAAGTATTCCTTAGTCTCTTCGTCGTAGAAGAACTCTCGTTCGTTCGATCCTAACAACGTGTCCGGGAATTTCTCCACAGTGTTCCGCCAGGTTTCGAAGCGTCGCCCGCTCACGTTTATTATGAATTTTTCATCTTCTTTTTTCCGTCTTTCTCGAGTCACTGGAGGGGCCGGCAGCGGATTGTTCGCGATCGGTACCCAACCGATAGCGGCGGCTCGTGCAAACGGCAGCCACGCGGCCACTGAAGCCATGTTTTCTGCTGGTGCTACTCCTTGTTACGGACTCGCCTGATGTCGCTCTCGTAGCTCTGCCGGTTGTCGCAAACGTCGCCTAAGCTCGATTGATATGTTGCTCCCCACTACTGCTTCGAGTGCCGCAGCAGAAAAAGCGTCGGCTGAGCTCACCGTCACTCATAGACCCGCAGAGGAACGAGCAGACAGTTAGACAGATAGACTTTCGATTGATGAGAGGGCGATCTCGTAGATGGCGAAACCTTCAGTAATTCAGCGGGTTGGCGGGCGGGCGGGCGGACGGACGGACGGATGGGAGGTCGAACGGATCGACGGACACAGCGGCAGATGTCACCGCGATCGTTGCGTCCGGTCAGAGCCGTTCGTTGTTGTTGGTGCTGCTGCTGCTTCTTCTTCTGCACAAGGAGGAAGTCTAAGTGTGCAGTCCGTGTGGTCGCGTGTCAGCGAACGTCGACTGGCTGACGCGGCCACTCCTCCTCTCGTTCTGAGAGCAGGGGCAAGAAAGTTGGAAATTCCACAACGAATGTTCAGTGAAGCCTGAATCCAGTAGCTTCGGCACAGGGGCAGAAGGTAGCCAAGAATTTGAACGTATTTTCATTCAAGCGATTGTCGCATCGTATTCGTTTTCTCACGTCCTCTTTCCGCATGCGGCGAAAGCTGCGCTCTCGAGGAGCGAGCATCTGTGGCATTGCATACGCGGATTTCCAGTCTTCTTTCTACCTGTACGTGACGCCAGACCCTATGTGGATTGCGTCGTTTCCTCCAAGGCGAGGCACTGTCTCGCGAGGGAACACACACCTGTTCCAGATGAGTCGATGAGTCAGCTAGTTGTCGGTAGCTGCTTGCTTGGTCGGTCGGTCTGGTTGCGGCGAGCGCTTGCAATGTAGCCCAGATGGTCAGATGTTCCGCTAGATGATAGGTGAAGCAACGATCTCGCGGGAGGGCTGGCGTGAGCGGGTCTCTTGGCTGAATGTACGCGCAGCGACAGCCTCGCGGCTTCGCTGACTCTCCCTGAAGCTGGAGGGGATAGAGTTTCCAATTTTCGGTACGGAAGCGCCGTTTCTCTCCCCGCTCCGTGTCGGGGGTCGCTGACAACGGCTGTTGCGGCTTTCGATGCTTCGGGCGGAGAATGTCGACCGTTCGACTTGGTCTCTCACGAATCGAAGCTCCGGACTCTGATGCTGCTGGTCGGCCCGAATGCTTTATTTGTCGCTTGAGTGCTCGATCGGTCAGCCGAGCATACGTTTATATTCCTTGACGCCTCGCGGGGAGCAGATGCTGGCCGGGAGGGAACCCAGCTCCGATAGGGCTTCCTGGATGGGAATGAGGTGAGATTGGGAGCGCGATGATTGAAACTCTGCATCCACTCCAATCAATAGCGATATCTCCAAGTTTGCCAAGAGTACAGGTAGTGGTCGTCGACGAATATCCAACTGCGTATGATTCTCAGGCAAGGATAAGCCAATCAAAATCCTCGGAACGCTCGAGGGGTCATGCCGCGTCTCGAACGGGACGGTCCTTCATGAGTAGAATGTAAGCCGGATCGATGCGTCGGCTTCGGTCATGTATTTCAGACCCTTGAGGCGGATCCGGTCGTTGAGCACCAGGTCCACGATTGGAGGATAGCGCGAAGAATTAAACGACGCGAGGGACGGGTGGAACGTGGGCGAGTCGGTAAAGAAATTCACAGCGAGTCCGATCACGGATGAATAGTATTATGATATATATCATAATCCATCCAGGTAGATAAATCGGGAGCGGCGAAAGCGAGCGGGGGTTTTCTCTCTTTTCTCTCGTTCCGGGAATTTTTGGAGGACTGCGTCGCAGGAGCTCGACGAGCTTCAAATTTTCTTGATTAACGGCTTCAGAATTAGATATGAGCGTCCCCTCGTTGAGTAATTGGTCGATTGAATAATTGTAGCTCGGCGTCTCGCTCGCTCGTTAAGCAAATCCTTGGTTGGTTGGTTGTTTGGCTGGCTGTTTGGTTGCTTGGTCCTGCGCTCGCTCTCTGGGACGAACGGTCCTATTGTCGACGAATCTGAGCGAGATAACCAGTTGTTCAGCAAACGACAGCGGAACGGACGAAAAGCTGAAGCGAGCGTATGCTCAACGATGTTTCGGATTAATGCATAGAAGGCTCGACTTCCGATAAGAGTCCCAAACAGATAGGCAATCCAGTTCCATGAGACGATGCGGTCTCGTGCGGGATGAAAGCGATCGCAGGGGGATGCCTGAAGATTGATATGGACACGGCTGCGATATATTACCCTTCGGAATCAAGTTGCGCGATCGATCTCTCGACCAGGCAAGCGGAGGGAGAAGCGAGCAAACGATCGCCTCATTGATTGCTTGTTTGCTTGAACTATACCTGATCGACCGAATGGCGTCGACGAGATTCAGTGTCACCGAAATTCACAGTCACTCACACATGCACACACGCACAACAAACACAGTGCGGCGCAGAGAGAGGAAAAAAACTTGGTCGAGACTGTGTCCGATAATTTCACCCGGAGCGACCAATGCGACCGGCTCAGGTAGCTGGCGTTCCGTTGAATTGCGAGTTCGCTGGCTCAATCCTCGGGGGCACTGACTGGTTTTACTTGCTCCATCGATTTCGCCGGATCTGCACCAACCGAGCTCGGAATGATTCCGTCTGGGAGTTTTCCGTTCTCTCCTCTATCGACTTTGCGTGCAAGCGGGAAACCGAGGTACCGCTCAGTCTTATGGGAACACCGAACTGAAAAACGGAAGACGAGCCTTATAATAACGTTCCAAACGCTGCTCCCTAAGCAGCTGTTCAGGTCACTTGACCAACTGAAGGCGACACTCGACAGGCGAGTTTTTCAAGCGTCTCGCATCCTTCCGATCTCGATGTTTCCGCTCGTGATTCTGATATCGCGGTCGGGATTCATATCCTTGTCCCGTTCTCGACAAGTTTTTGCTGTTCGTTCTCTGTCTTCCTCGATCATACCCGAGTAGAGTTCCGCGAGATGATAAATAGAATATAGTCGCCAGCAGAGATCGTTGTCGTCAAGTGGACCTCTCGGCGACTGTCGGCAGGGAGCTCTGCGAAACGGTGAAAGCACTGCAGCCGATCATTGCGCTCAAACTGCTTCCGATGGATCATCGTCGTCGATCGCTTATCACATAGCATTGCGTTGCAATCTTCAATTCATGGTGGCAGAACTTTCGTCTGCTCACGGCGCGGATTGAGGGGGCCGGCGACCTCCTGGCAGAGGTATCTCCCCGTCAAAGGGATATTGCTCCCGATTCCTCGAGATCGAAGCGCTGCTTGCTTTTATCGACACAATTTATCTGATAAAGCTATGTCTCTCCGCCTCGCTCTTCTTATTGTTATAGAAGTCGACGTTGATGTTGTTGTTGCTGCTGCTGTAGTTGCTGATGCCCTTGGCTTCGCTGATGCTGCTTAGATTGCTTTTGCTGCTGCTGCAGCTGCCGTTTCTGTCGGTAAGTCGAGAGCTGTGATGTGGATGGAGATCGTCGTCGTCGCCGTTGCGATGACTGGAAGTAGTTGTTGAGGGGAACGTCGTCGATACTACCACTGCTGCTGCTGCTACTGCTGCTACCGCTGAAACCTTCGACGCTTCCGAACAAGACACTGCAGCAGCTGCTCGTTAAGTTACTTGACTGCACCGAACTTGCGAGAACATCACTGATCAATGCAACACTTGAAAACGTCGCACATATTGGCATGAGGTTTATAGAGCAGCAGCAGCGGGGTGCGATCGAGCTGCCGATGCTTGCTGTCTCTGCTGGAACTCTCTCGCGCAAGGCTCCGGTCCGTGCGCTCATCAGAGCGAGCTCGCGCTGGCGCCCGTTCTACAGCAGACGAAGAGACTCACACACACACACACTCGCGCACACTCGCAAACGGACAAGCTCACACATACACACGCAGATATACGCACGCAAGGGGGCCAGCGAGCAGTAAGGCAGCCGACATACACATACGAACTCTCGCACACACATACAAGCTCACACACACACATCGTACGAAGACACACATACATGCACACTCACTCAAACACATACTTTTGAGAGAGGACTGTCGGGGAGAGTAAAAGGCCCTTGAGCCCGCTGTCGAAGCCCTTCGGGGCTGGGCGAGCCAGCCTTCCGGGGTGGATACGTCAAGCGCCCTAAGAGAGCCACGACTCATGCGCGCGCATTCCTCCTTCTTCTGACTGATCTCTGACTCGGGTCCCTTTCAACCGGGCCCGCGCTAGACCGACTGCAACTGGCGACCCCTCGTGGACATAAATCCCAACTCCCCACAGGTGGTTGTTCTTCGTACTGTTCCGCTACTCCGAGCGCCTAATCGTCTCCTACAGCGCCCGGAAGCCGCTCGTCTCCCATGGAGGCAGATCCAGTTCTGAACCTTCAATCGCACATTCGCTCGCCCAATCACTCGATAGCTCATCAAGCCGTTGTTCTAGTGTCCTCCGGGGAGTGGTATTAGAAATGATCTATCGCGGTGTGCTCGCCGCGGCGTTCTCCGATCCAGCGGCCAATTGACCATGGAGTACCCTCAGGATGCAGTCCGGATTTATTTACCGTGTCCCTTTCCAAACCCGCCTTGGCCCGTCCCCGTTCGCACCGAATTCCCGAAAGTCATGTCCCGGGGCGAGTGATTAACGGTCCTTACGGAAGACCTGGTGTGCAGTGAGCCCCGGAGAGGAAATTCAGCTTCGATTTCGATCCATTATCGTTTGGATTCGTCCATTATCGATTCGATCCTGGCTTCAGCATTCCTCTCGATTCCCTCATCGCGGGGTGCCAGCTTCTTCTGCCTTCTGATTGGAACGCAAAACAGGAGATCCGATCAGACAATCACAACGGCATATGTAAAAAAAATTGCGTTCGGAACCCAGTCTCCGAGTTGATTTCTTCCGAGCGACTGGCCGCAGGAGAAACTCAGCTCGACTCGAGCTTCCTCTCCTTTCCCGATCGCATCAGAAAGCTGTGAAGTATATAGTACGCAAACCTATATCCGCATGCTGAGGGTCTCATCCTCACAGATCGCGCCCGCCGGAACTCCGAACAACCCCCCGCACCGGCATCCTGAATTCTCATCATCATCATCATCGTGACTCGGTCTCGCTCATTGTCAGATCATACAGTACTGGCTTGCAATTCGTTATTTTCGTATCATGGTTGTTGACGTTCCGACGACATTCACGGCTTTCGATAGCGCATGGGATGAGACCGGGCTCCACCAGAGTGAGAGAGTCTCATACGCTCAGCGAATTTTCATCGAGAATCGGGAACGAGTGCCGAAGATGGGTAAACCTTGAACAGCCCGTGGTGAACAGTCCGTCCGATCCATTGTTCCACAAGTTGATATCGTGAGAGTTTCGATAGAGGCCTCGGATCTCTCGCAAAGATTACCGTGGGAGTTACGCAAGGCAGGTTACGAGCAACATGCTTATGGGTTGCAAGTTCAAGGAGCGAGCTCAGCAGTCAGCAGGATGAGTTTGACGGGGCGAAGTTCTTGGACTAGCTCGAATTGAGAAGTCTCATGAGCGGAGGCTCACCTGGAAGCACTCACAGCTTCAGAGGAAAAATGACTGCTGCCTCGGACCCGTTATGACTAAGGCAATAATCACTGATGACGTTCGGAAATTCCGTGGCTCACTCCGAGAGAGTTGGGCCGCCTCGAGAGTGCTGGATGATCGAAGCCCAGCGTGAGTCGAAACCTTGAACCCATCGAAAGCTCGATAGCGAAGTTCTGACCACGACGCAATCGATTGCATGATTCTCAGGAACAAGCATCGCGCTCCCTCCGTCCAATGCCGAGAGACTTCGGCGTAGTGAGCCCGATTGAGCTGAATTGTTCCACAGACAACTTGCATAGCGCACAAGATCTGATGGAACAGAGATACATCTCCGCGGAAGGTTGGGTCAATTTACATCGATCGGCATCCTCGAAGAGCACGATATCAGATCGTACTTGGAAGATCCTGTTCTTTGTCCTACATGCGAAAAAATCTCTTGGAGACGGGCCTATATTTCAGGACGTCTGCACGAGAAGATTCGCACACAGGGGTGACGAAGATCGTTACTCATTGAGAGACAGGTTTCAGCTGCCAAGATCGACACAGATAGCGCCCAATACCGCACAACGCTCCCTTCGGTTCATGCGTCGGCGTCGTCTCTCAGGAGAATATTTGAGGGAGGAATTAAGGTCGAACGGTCGCTCTGCTGCTCCTTGGGGAGAGATGATCCATTCCTGATTCCTGTTCCCGGAGGGTACAGGACTCGAAGTACATCTTGGAATCCTAATCTTTCTATCGGTCGGTCCCTATCAAGGGCGATGGACTAGCTGACGTGCGACGTCTCCAGGATCAAAGCAGGTCTACGATGAAGCCCTGTACCTGAGTGGATGAAGTTTACCGTTAGATATGTCATCAGGTACTATATCTCGAAAGGAATAAGTGGAGAGACAACAGTCAACGGACTAAACTAAGCGGTCCAGACCAGACGCTGATGGTAGTGAACCGCTGGCGGCTGTCACATTCCTCTTCTCGAACCGGAACTCTATGCACCTCGTCGACTCCGGTGCCCTGGGACGCCTCTGATTCTTTTCTCTGATCCGTGGAGGTCTAGCGTCCAATAAGCCCGAGGGTCTTGATTGCAACCCGGTCAACGATGAACCGGCTTCCGAGCTCACCATATTTCGAAAGTCCTCTTCCCTCCGCAAGAATACGAAGTGAATCGGATTTACGAATGATTCTCCCGCGGGAAAGTATTAGTGTCATAATAGGTGGATGATTCTCCCATGAGACATCGCTGCCGGGGGTCTTGGAGTGAGCGAGGCGTCGTCGCAAGCCGGACCACCGCCTGAGGCGGCACTTCGAAACCGTCCGGGAATTTCGTTTTGACAGGAGAACTTCAGAGTGCAGCCCCTTGGAGGCAAAAATATGCGCCGCCCGGAGCGCACCTCCCCGCCTCACGACGCTGCTGGTCTTCCGCTGAGGACCCTTTCCTTATCTCTAATCTCTGTTCCGAGGAAAACTCTAGCCCATCCACTCGAGAGAATTCGGGTATCGATCCAGAAGAATTAAGATTCACATTTAGATACCTGTGGGATTCACATATGGATATCAGCTGGGATAAGACACAGGGTGGATTCAAAGGGTCAGCTTCTGCTCAGGAAGGCTCATTCATCATATTCGGTGTGATCGAATCGTCACGGGCTCCAGGTCTGGTCGGTGACCTCCTTCGACCGTGATCTAATCGGCGGAGGTCCTGAATGCGGTCTCAGCATATCGATCGGCCATGCCACCCTCCGATATCTCCTCACTCAGTAGAACGATTTTGACACTATTCTGTCGCGAAGAAAGTTCCAAGCCATTTTCGGCCTCGCCCCTGATCCCCGATGACGTTGCTCAGCTCCTTGAATGAAGACTCATAACTCACAACCTCCGAGTCTGGTATCACTTTCGCCAATCCACGGACCAAGACGAGCTCTGCCTGCTCTCTGTCTGTCGGTACATAATATTCAATTTCGTCGCGGCCCTATTCCGAGGAAACCCCCTCTCCTGACTGCGCAGCACGAATCCATCATCGTAGTGAAGATACCTAAGGAGTTCTCTTAGGGGATTCGATTCAGCGCTATGGAGCAAAGATATCAAGGCGACCCGGCTCCGGTGCTAGTTTTATCAAATTTACTTCGGACGAGTTTGCGCTCTCGAGCGAACTCGGAACAGGGCTTTTCGGTCAATGACAGCGCTTGCGAAGCCTGCTCAGAGCACCATCAGGTGAGACCGATGTGACTGCTCCATTGTGGCCACATTGGCCTGGATCCCAACATGAGAGTCGTCCGTATCTATGCTGCGTCGCCCTGGCGAGTTGGATTATTATCGACATCGGCCTCTGCTCTCCAATAGCGGTTACGACCCCTCTGAGTGTGAGTGAATCACAGATTCCGTCCTGAAAGGTCAGAGTGACTTTCTATAAGGCTTGAAGGATCAGCCGCCTGATGCTTCTGGACAAGCTCATGACTCATGATCGTACATGAGCAATAGGCCACACTGCGATAGAGGGTTGCGGAAAAGTTCACGATGCCCCTCCGAGCGGTGCATCACTGATCCGTGGTACATGCATACCTGGGCGCAGTGGCGGATCCAGGGGGGGGGCCAGGGGGCCATGGCCCCCCCCAAGAATCTTCGATCCCCATACAAAAGCATGGGCCGCGAGGTGGCGCGTCATCATTTTCGGCTCTTTCCCCCCTGAAAATATGACTTGGCCTCCCCCAAGAAAAAAAGCTGGATCCGCTCCTGCCTGGGCGGAGTTCTCTTCCTTCTGGTGAAGCAGCTCGCGAGGGAGGGATCCCATTCCTCCTCAAAAGGAGCGGCGATTGCGGAGGTAAGCTGAGGTACGTTGAGGAGGAGTCTGACGATTTCAAATAATCCCCCCTGCTCGCCGCAAAGATCAGTTTCTATCTTATTTGAGTTCTTTGATCTCTCTCCCGTATGGCGGGCTCGGTACGTCAATCGTCCACGGGATCTGACATGGCCACGGCGGCTACGAAAAATCTCACGCCTTCGAGATAGAGCACCGTGACGGGAGGCCGAGTAATCCCGGCACGGCGCGCGACCCGCATTATTGGTTCGGAGCGTCTTCGACTCGATAGCTCAGTCAGAGGAATCTCGGCCTGATCACGGGACAAGAATCTCCGACGAATCGCGCGATCCACATGAATGTTTCTTCCAAAATGCTCACAAGAATATCAGAGCCATGTTCGGGGATGGATCACTGAGTTCCTCCATGGTGCTACATGGTCAGCACGAGATACATGGCTGTCCCCGCTTACGATCCCTCGCTTAAGAAATCACTGGCGCTAATCGTGACGATCAATCGAGTGTTTCACAAACGACAACTTGATAGCCAAAGCATGCATCTCGCCAATGATCCGCAAGCGGGCTCGATTGACGATTTGGCAGCCGAATGAGCTTGTCGGGCGACTCATGGAAAATGACTCGAATCGTAGAAGAACCTACGATTCGAGCAAGGCTCTCACCGCTCTAGAAGAGAGGATTATAGATTCAACGCCATCGGATACTCGACTCTCACCCTCCCGGGGCTCTCTTCTGCGCCTGTGGATGAGGGCGTCCGTTTCCACGTTTTTCGTTGCTCCCCAGCTACGAATCCGGGCGAGAACAAGGGAGCGAAAATCCCGAGACCTGCGATTTCTTGAAAATTTATTTTTATTGTCTCTCATCCGAACTTTGCGTTCGATGCACGGAAAACTTTCGAGGTTTGTCCTTCTTGCCGAGCACGACGACCATTTTTTCCGTGGATTTCTTCGTCCGGGACAGAATGTGCTCTAATTTGGATATGAATGTATCCACATCCTGTAGCGTGGTCCCGACGCCAACCGCAGCCGTGAGATAACTATGCGGGTATTCACTGTGATGCGAGCCCCATCCAACAAAATGATAGCCTTCTATGTCTTTGACTGCTTCTGGGTTGACCGTTCTCGTACCGAAAACGAATCTCGTGAATAACATTGAGCCTATCGAGCTCACATCATCTATACCTTCGAATCCGTTCAGAGTGAGCCCGATAGAGATGTCGTTCGAGGCGATTTTCAGAACCATCTGGTTGTGAGCCTCTGCTAGTTTCTCAAGCTCTTCGCCAAGGTAGTAGAATGTCCCCTTACGTTGTTTACATATTTCTCGATAGCCTTTTATGCCGACTGTGAGCAAGGTTATGAATAGATCCATCGTAGGGGATGAGGAGCCTCTTCCCGGATAGGATCGAGCAATAGCCTCGATGAACTCTTTATCGAATCCGGCTATAATGGCACCTCCCACCGGCACCATGAAGTTTTTGTCGGTGCTCTGAACGTAAGCGTGTATGTGCCCATGTTTGTGGGCTTGTTCCAGGCGGGCCATACACTTCGTCGACTGCACCCCGTACGCATTGTTTGTTAGGTGCATGAGATCGAACTCTTTGCAAATTTCCGAGATGCTGACTATGTCATCCGGTTTCCTTGGAGCGAAGCACGAAGTTGTGGATAGAACGCATAATATATTCTCTGCGCCTATCTTCGAAATTGTCTTCCTCATCTCTTCGGTGTTCGTGCATAGCTCATGACCTTGGAGCTCTTCCTCAATGATTACAGGTGTCAAACCGGCTGTCAGAATGCATTTGAAGCATGTTTTCTGATCGATTCTCGGCCATAACACATACTTGGCCTTAGGTTTTATCGAGCGGAACGAAAGTAAACACAATACTAACGCCATTCCAGTGGCCGTCGGTACAACGAAGCAGTGTTTAGTGCTTGGTGCGCCGCTAGCTTGGAGCACATGAAGTACCATCGAATTCGTCAATCGATTCATAAGTGTCGATCCAGCCGCCTTGGGCTGCTGTTCCTGAATGTCGCCTGAGCGCCCTATACCGTGGCCCATTCGAAAATGTCTCTTGCGGACGATGTCCGAAGCAAATCGACCTTCGCGTTCTCCGAGCTGTGTGCATCCTAAGAAGTTATTGCTGTCCATCAACGAGAGATTCTGGAGGAGAAGTTCGATGGTAGGTTCTTCCCATCCCACGTCGGGACATTTTCCTTGCTCCAGCAAGAGGTTGATCCGGCTCTGATGGATTCCAAGTGCTTGCTGAGCTTGTCTGGAGTAATTCGTTCGCAGCTGGTTCACGCTTAGCGCGGCAAAGCTCTCTTCATTCATGCTCGGAAGCTCCTCGTTGGGGTTTTCGAACGCTCGAACGTTGGGGGTTTCGCTCGCACCGCGAGAGTCACATGCTTCTCGGATGGAGTTCTGACGCACACGACACTCTTAGACAAACACAAGCGGTCTAGCGCCGCTCAAAACCGTTTCGAGGCAACCACAGTGAGAATCTATCCTCTAGTTTACGACCATGACAGAGCGCTCTCTTCTCCACATTGCTGTTGACTCTGCCTGTGGCACGACGGCAACGTCGGCGACCCGCGTCGATATCCGCATCGACGGTCAGCTGTTCCGAAGGGAAGATGGATTCCCTCTAGCTCTAGATGATCTCATGAGAAGCTCTAGCGCAAGGAACCATGTGCACGATCGCGCAGTGTATTTCTGAGAGATTGGGGAGCTGTATCCCGTTGATCGATTGATCTCTCGATGCGGAAGATTGGTCCGGAGACACCCCTTCCGGTAGAAAGCGGTAGCCCGTAGGGACGGACAGCAGGCGAGCTCTTCCCCAAGGGGGAGCCGCGCGTTCGTCGGTCAAGTGCTTTGTTGTTGATGGTGACAGGGGCTTCCCGACGCCGCTCGCGAAGGAGGAGGGTTCTAGAGAGTGATCGTAGGTGATCCGTTCCTAATGCTTGCCATTGTCTCGCGACTGATGCCAACGAGAGAGTTTTCGGGGACATAACTGACCCATGAACATGGAATTCGACTCGAGCGCTCCTTGGCCTCGCGAATCGCATTATTGCGCACAGGATACCGGAGAATTTCGACTCGATTCGATGGGGAGGCCAGACCCACGGACTGGATATCAAGATAAGCCGAGAACACACCGATGTAGAACGTGGCTGTTGTTGGATGAAATGCTGATTATGATTCATGGTCTCCGGCTCCGGGCAGAATCGAGCGCTTCCTCTCGATGCTTTTGCGCTCGGGAGCGAGCGATCATCGATATCCGCAAGCTTTTGCGGGTAGAACCTCCTCAATCCCCGTGCCGCGGATTCTCGCGCCTGAATGCGGATTCAAGTTTTTCCCTCGAAAGTGACCCATGTGGGGTGCGTGAGTAGAAAGGAACGGAAGGGCATTTTTCATCGGCAAGGTCCTCCGATGGTGTATCATACATATAAACAATATATACATATCACAACAATATCATACATATATCATACATATCGAACACCCGGCTCGCCGATCTGCATACAACGGCTCTGCCAGTATCCCTTCCTACTGCCATAGACCGGAGCCTGGAGCGCTGCGGGTTAGATAGACGTCCGGAGTTCGGGAACCTAGATCACGTGCCATAAATACTTCATCGTTCTACGAAGAGTACAAGAAAGTATTCGTCTTCATCCGAATATATTCAACGGGGGAGAAACCGTAGCGTGATGAAGAGAGCGGAGAAACACAGGGCAACTATTCAACAGTTGGAGGATGGAGTGAGCCACGGGCGGGTATGTCTTCCTTTGAAGAGATTTCTGAAGTTGGGCCAACGGTCAATACATAACGGATTTCAAGGAGGTAGGGTGGTAGTGATGCAGTAAATTCAGGCTCTTCGTGTTTTTCCTTGTCAAGCTCACGATGAACTCATGTCAAACTCCGGAACAGCATAGGGAGAATAGCGAAACCCCGAGTCCAAAATATCCATCTTCGTCGGGAACTGCGATGTTCCCAAGCGTACAGTCTGCTTCGGAAGCTCGTTTGGAAGATGGGGAGTCGTAGGTTGGGGCTTTTCGAGGAGCCGACCCGGAACGAATCACCATAGAAGAGGGAGATTGACGAGACGGTCTGGGAAGATGTTACCACCTCTTCCGATGAATTTCCGATAGACAGTCTCACGTCCGCCGCGCGAAAAGGTGATCATGCCGAAAGGAGTCTTTCGACTGGGGAGGTACGACGGAGGGGTGGAGCAAGACGGCCGTGCTTCTTTTTCCCAGAGAATGGGTCGCTTTTGAGCAGTTTCATCGAGAACATTTACTCGTATCCACCTCGCCGCCCAGAAATTTCCGAGTTACCATCAACCTGGTGAGTGCTTACCTACACGGCAACTTGCAGGAATGAATGGATGGAATTGGTAAGCAGGAATTCATGGAGCAGCCAGAGTTGTTCCAGGTGGAGAACAAAATTCTTCTCTCGATAAGATCCCTCTGCGGATAGGAGGAAGCGGCCCGGGCTTGGTTTCGAACTGACGACATGACCCTCGAATGTTAGTTAAGAGCGGATTGCTCTTGTGTATCACCGCTAGGGGCGTGTAAACTAGGTCTCGGTCTTGGACATTCTACGTTGATGATTCCCTGACATGTGCCGGTAATCCGATGACGCGGTGTCAGATCTCGAGTGATATCGGCGAGGGTTCTCCTGCACAAGATTTTCTAGGGAGAAGTGCTGATGAAAATCACGCAAGATCTCGACAAAATCGCCATGTCTTGTCAGAAGGGGAATTACTCACGGGTGCTTCGAGCGTTCCGATTTCGCAGGAGCGAAACCCGCATCGCCGCCGATAGGAGCGGTATGTGAGTCATCGAAGAGGAGTGATGCTGAGTGCCAGAGCGATGAACCCTGTCGGCTGTCAATATGCCGCGCACCCGATGAGTCAAGTCTCCGAAGATCCTCCGGAGACCTAATGGATCAAGATCCGTGAGGAGGATGATGCACAGCCTTAGGGGCACCTTGGATCTACCTTATTCGTTCAAGGGACAAGACACCGGGGCAGTCAAGGGCGTAGACGATGGATCTTCGGACGAAGATTTGGAAGGGAGCCTCGACCGTAGAGAATCGACCTCCCACCGGTTATGCTTTCATTGAAGAGCTTCCAATATACCCTGGAAACGCGGGAAGCAGCCGACCGACGCGTCGTCGTCGAGCAAGACCGAGTATCTGGCAGGTTCGGCCGCGTGCCGAGAGTTCAAATGGCCGCTGGACCTCGATGAGGTGCTCGCTGTCGAAGTCAGAAATCCGCTCTCGCTGTACTGCGACAATCGGGTTCCTCTTACAATCAGGTCAAGCGTACGATTTCGTGCGCATTGATGACTTTTATTTACAATGAGCATCAATGGAACATCCCTAGGCGAAATTTTCAATTCCCATCGATTCCAAAATACAGGCCGCACAGAGCGCTCTGGATAGCACGCTCACAAGCGATTTTCGATTCGAATCCACCGGCTTTCTCCTGCTCTTCTGCTCCTCGGATATGATTGAGATAACCAAAATCTTCAAGCTCCTCAACGGTAGGTGCAGGAGGTCCCATGATGTCGATTATTAGCGGTTTGTATTCGTAAGGTGGCGCTTCGGCAGCTTTCTTGACTGGCAGGAATTCTGAGCCCTTGGAACCAAGTTTGATTCCGGTTGAGAAAGCTGTCGCTGGTCGCGATCTCTCCTTTGCCTCCTGTTCTTCCTTCTCTAATAGCTCTTGTTTCTGTTTATCGTGGAGCGCGACGATCTGTGCAGCTGACAGGTCAGAGAACATAAGCTCATCGATGAGATCCTCTTTTTCTTTGAGTAGCGCTTTCTTGCGCTCGAGGTCTTCCCGTTTCTGCTGGTCGACTCGAAGATCTGAACTCATTTTCTCCTCTTCCAGGAGGCGCTCGACCAAAATGTCATCCTTGGTCTGACGTCCGCGGTTCTTGTTAATCATTGACTTGTTGTCTTTCTTGTACTGGTCGATCTTCCGACGCGTGGCGTCCACCTCAATGTTGTTTGTGAGTTTGAAGACTATATCCTCGACCATCTCGAGGTAATCATTGTACTCCCGGAGCGTTGCGAAATCCTCTTCCCGAGCATTGAAGTCTTTGAGGACTTTTTTCCGAATGTCTAACTCTTTTTCCACGATCGGGTCATCGAACACCTGTCAGAGAAATCAGATTGAGAGAGACATGATCCTCGTCTGCGGGAACAGCACTTTTCTACGATTCGATCGATTCATAGGACAAGTTCACTCAATAATATTCACGTGATGCTCACTTGGAAGCGGAAGCCGTTCCTTCGGAGCAGTACATTGCAAGTTGTACAGTTTCCGGAGCCTTTGATGAACACGATTTCGACACATTTCTCGCATAACGGATGGCCGCATTGATTGACCATTAGTTTCAGAGCGGGGTTGCGGAATTTAGTGGTTTTGCATCGCGGGCAAGCGATATCGTCCATGATGACTGATGACTTTCGCTGGTATCTCCCGGTGATAGCATTCAGCCGATCACATACCTAAGTGAATCGCTTCAGCAATCGAACGGCGACCCTCTAAATGGAGAGAAGCGGTATGGGGAAACCACAATCAGATGTTGACGCGGTCCAAGAGTTCGAAATTGTGAATGCTTGTTACTGTCTTGACGACGATGATCTCGCCCTTCGTGTGTCGTCGGTCGTCGTCTCCTCGTGCCTCGTCGCCTCTCTCACCTCTCTCTTGCTGTGTGCAAAATTCGGAGAGACAATGATGCTGATGATCCCTGCAGCCGACAGCCGAATATCCGGGCGGCCCCTGGACCGAATGGCACTCTCTCCGCCGACGCTCACGCATCGCTGACTGATCCCGGGGAAGATCCCTGAGGGAGAGGAATTGCAGGTAGAGGAACCGCGAATATGCCCCTGTATTATATTATCTAGGTACTATTATTGGTGCTTATTATACATAGGTATCAATAGGGAGATGCAGAAAGCCATTTGGGTACGGAGGTACTCCCTGTTAGTCAAATCAGATCCGCCCCCATCTCCGCACGGAGTTCCCTCAATACAGTTGGAGTTGACGAATGAAAATGATGCCATTCACCCATTCTAGCGAACGCCACAAGGGGGTGTCAAGCGAGCTGAATGTAATCGAAAGAGAAAAATACTGAAAACCATTAGGGACGACATCGCTCGCTCGCGATGCAAGACAACGGAGCTCCGCAACCCCGTTCAGAAGCCGTTCTTGCCGTGGGCATTTGCCGTGTGGAGAATGCGGCGAAATTTTCCCCATCGAAAGCTCCGGGGCATTCGGAAAGTTGTCGCAGAGAAATGCCGCGATCCCCAGGACCCAAGACGCACTCACTCTGAACGATTCGGGAAGCTTCGTCAAGATCGTGGAATCATGGGGAGTCTCATGCGAGCGCTCCCGGCACATCAATTCGTGGCGACGGTCGACTACAGGCGGACAAAGGAGGAATATGCACCGCGCAGCGGGTGCGTAGCCAGAGGAAGCTCGTTGATCTCGCCCAATGGCTGGCTGGGTTTTTGAACGTCGGCCCATCGGGGCGCGGCCGCGGTAACAAGGGCCGCTCGGGGACCTAAACAACCCTGGTCACGGCTGGAAGGTTCCCGACCGCTTTCGTCACTTGAGCTAAAACTCTCTCTATTGCGAAAAAGGAGCTTGTTGGAGGTTGAGGAGTCATGAGGAAATTCCGCTGAGTTTGGGACGTGACACTCGCTACGAAAAAATCTAGGTTCTTTATTCCATAGGAGGATGACGATCAATCAGAAGTCGCTCCCGCCGCCGCCGGGACACTTGCTTTATTTATAGCCAGCTTCAGCTCCGCAGATTAGTGAGCTCCAAGGCATTCGGACGCTCAATTGGATGCTTCGGCATCGGTTCCGCCCTTCACGAAAAACGCCGGAGTTCCATGCGGAGGACTGTCCGGTGAAGAACGGGCCCGTCTCCGACGATGCAACGTCCTCTGGCAAACATCATATCACGCTCGCTTGATGGTACAATCAGAAAGAGCGCGGCTCCACTGTCGCATACGAGGCTAAAGGCAACTCTCGTGTCCAGAAGAACCTTGAGTCTCCATAAACGGATGTCTGTTGTAGGAGCGTTGAGGCACCTCGTTAGTCAGAGGATAGGTCGGAGCGGAATACCCCATCCCATTATTCATTCTGTTTAAAAGATCGGAACCTGACGCCGAACCGCTCCGCTAGTGCTTCGAAAAGCGCATTCCCCGGTAGCTTTTGGTGTCTGTCTCGCAGTTTATGAATGGCTTCGCGGACCTAATGAACCATCAAGAGAGAATTCTCAGACTGAGGTCGTAAGACTCAGAAGAGCAAATCGCAGATATTGCAATAGTTGTTCCTAAGCCTAACGAAGTTCGATCATCCTCCTCAAAGCTGTCCGTGGCTCACCCTCTCTGCGAATTCTTCAGCACTTTCATCAACTCCGCAGTGAAGAGGCTCTCCGATGTAAATTCGAAGCTTCACGGGAAAACATATCAGGGGCAGATATACAACGATTCCTGTTCTCTCGTATACGGCCTTGAAAAAACCTGTGAGCGGGCCGCATAAACGCTTACAACATGGTACGTCTCGGTAGGTTCAAACGCTACCCACTTGCACCCGAGGGATGTTAGACCACGATCTTCTCCTCGCTTACTTTTCAGACCGAAATTCATCACTGACGGTGCTGGTTGAGAGTTCGCCGTGAACATAGGGATTATAGGAACCCCACACTCCTTCGCCACTCGAGCGAATCCATGGCGGCCATGCCAGAGCAGTCTACAACCAATGTAGGCATTAGACTCATTGAAGTGCTGTGGCTTATCCAAGCTCAAGGCATAATTCAGGAAGTATCATTCGCATCCCAGTCCAAATTCATGCAGTAACTCGTCTGGAACTTCTTGCGAGTCGAGGCAGGGATTTTCGCCGTATCGTGTTCATTAGGAAGCAGCACCGAATGTAGAGTCGGAGTCCTTACTCGTAGTTTTCACTGAAGACCCCTTCGCGAGCTCCGCCTGGAGCGACGTGGCAGATGTTCCCCTTCTTTAGCTTTTCGACGAGCGTGTCTCGCTCACAATAGAGATCGAGGATCTGAAACGGAATGTGTATCCGGGGTAAGATACATGGAAATCAGTCGCAAGCCCAAGGAGACTATATGCGCTGGATTCTCAAGAATCAAGATTCATTCCCATCCCCGGACACGACGCCATGAGGTTTTTGGTGGATTTCCAACAAACTTCCGATAGCTCCATGCTGACATGAGACAGCGTCGGAGTCTACGATACCTTGCAGAGGCCTGGCACGACCCGAACCGAGTTACGATGAGCGATCCCCCCTATACACTTCCTTGCTTTGAGACAAGATCTGGCCCAGAGATAGACGATGTCGTGAGTCACGAGAGCGTGGTAAAAAACTAACAAGGCACCCGTGGTCTCCGGCAGGTTTTCCTCCCCATGGATCTCGAAACCTAAAATCACCAGATTTACGCTCAAGGCTCTATGACACTGGGGGTACGTATGTTCTTCGAATAACAGGTTCTTGCTGTTCCGACCGCGTCATTACCGTGGAGCATTTTCAGATAGAAAAACGTGACTAAAGCTGCGGGTTTCCTCGTGATTGTACATATCGTTTCTGAACGGAGGAGAATCGATATCGTGGCAATAGCGTTGGCGACTGACGCTAAGAGCGTTATCGGCAAGGTAGTGAAGAAGAGCATCTGTGAAATCGCAGGACGGAGTATGAATGAAAGCATGATGAATATATCAACCTCCAAAATCATAATATCCCGAGTTTGGTGAGAGGGTGTGAATGAAACTCACGATTAGGAATAGTACCATGTTGTATGAACACATCCATATGATTCGGGTGACGGGGATCACCATGAATATCAATAGGTACCTGAGAAGCTCGAGATGAAGCGGCGAAGACCCCATTTCTCAGAATTGAATACACCGACGAAATTTAGATTCCTTTCTCGCTCTCCCTCCCGCGGGAATCCACGATCTTGACTTCAGCAGGAACACCCCCACGTGCGCGTTTGGATCCTTGACGGGAATCAGATCAAATGGCGTATTCCGGGATTTGATAGGAATCCTTCACCCGTGGGACGTCCGTAGCCCCGTAGCCGGTTTAATCGATCGTCTCGATTTGATGATTCGCTATCGGTGACTCTCGGATTTCATCTTCCACGGGGAACATCGGCTTACGACTGAGAGGAGACTTGGGATTTCACGAGCTCAGACAGGCTCTGAATCTGAGGCCGATGTTAGCATGAAAGCAAGCTTGAATAGCTCCGACAGGTGCGGAAAATCCGACGGCGGGGAGAGAAGCTTCCTTTGCTTATAATGGTTCTGACGGCGGGATATCTCCTCTAGGATACCTCATTATGAGCGAGATAGACTTCCTGCGATTAAGGACGACAACATCCGCGGACACAATAAGGAAGCGCTCCCCCTTGGAAGCAGACCCTCGGAAGCATGGGTGATGTCCAGGTGGATTGGTGGACAACATGGCTATCTGGATGGGTGCTCAAGGAAGACCCCTCCGTCATTCGGAACAGTGTTTGCTGTTTCTTTCTAATTTTAGCTTTGAGGAAAATTTGTCTGATCGGAAAATATAACCGGAAGTAGGCGGGGAACCTGTCTCATTCAACATGGCATCTGTTTGGGTCAAATTAGACATTAAAGGTGGAGCACAAATGGTTCGAAGCTGTAATGGGCACCGTTAACACGAGTCCTTCGCTCTCAGAGATTCGTGCTATAATCGGATTCCACGCGGATTGAAACTCGGATCCCATGCGAATAAACCTAAGGATTTATCTGGCCTGGAGCCTGAAACCCGAGGGATTTCTCGCGAACCTCCTGCGGGTTTCCCTCCGCGGGGCGCGGGCTTCCAGAAAGTCCGCTTGATTGCGTGCCCCAGGGAAACACACGCTCTGTCTGCCTCTCACGGCGCGGTCGCGGTCGCGTTCCGATGTGGAAGGCATACCGAGTCCATCTCACTCCCCACTATTGCGTCTATCCATCGTCAGGCGGATCTACGATACTTTTCCCACCTAGTCAGAACAAACAATGCCCACATATTCTTCAATGTAGTCTCGAATTCGAGGCGGTCCGGAGTCACATACTCCACAAAGAGAATCGCCCCTAATAATGCTGTTAACAACCTGTTCGCGTGGAGAGTTTCACGCCATCTCAGAAATGGAGTTTACCCCCTTTTATTACCTCAATAAAAGCGTTATGAAATGAACGAGTGTCTTCCCGAATCTGCGACACGCTACACGCGACCGGCATCCTGTTAGCGTCAAAGAGGCGAGAAAGACAAACAGATTTCTCTATCATAAGTTCAAGGACAGAGAGGTCACCGGAGCCACCAATTGCGAGTCTCAAATCGACACCTTTGAGAGGGTCAGAGCTCGTGGAGAGAAACACCCAAGATGTGTTATTACTGCATCCATTGTATTCTCTCTAGCGAAGAGGGATGCGAGACGAAGGGGGCGCATTCCCGTCTCCTGCATCCATTGTATTCTCTCTAGCGAAGAGGGATGCGAGACGAAGGGGGCGCATTCCCGTCTCCTGCCCTCGGCGCCAGACCTGGGCGCCGCGATTAAACCTTGTGGCGGCGACAAAGCACGCCAGGGCGTGTTGCGATGGCACGGCCCGCCGCGGGACAAATCAGTCGGCGGCGGCTCCGTAGCGCTCGTTGCTGCACTCGAATACACCATGCTCTCATCCCTGGATGCTCTCCTACAGCGTATTGGCTGCACATTGGCAGCGTAAGTTCCTTCTGTAATTCTATGGTTGCTTCGTAGAGGTCCGGGGCCGCCTCGTCCCGAAATCCTCGAGAGGAATTTCCGAAATCGATCACGCAAAGAACGATCATGTTTATGGGTGGTTTTTCGGATCCCTGCATGAGAATCACAAGATCCTTGATCGCCTGAAATACGCCGTGTCACGGACTCAGACGTCGAATCGGGACACTACTTGAACGACGCGATCAGCTTCGAGTCAGGTCTGATGTCGACTTCCAACTCCCGTATCTGAAGCATAGTCGCCATTCACAATCTTGCGATCCACAATGCCGTCGCCGATCTCGGCCGGGCCCTAGAAACTCGACGAACGCACGAACACACATATGATGCCGTCTGATCGGCGCTCGTGACCTGTTTAACTCATAAGGTAAAACTTCGCAATCAAGGAAATTCCGTCTTCTTCGCCGGGACTGAGCAAACGGTCGAGGGAAGCTGTCTCCATCAGAACTTCGTGCGAGACCTCGTACGACGCGACTCTTGATTCGGAAAGCCGACAAACAAAGGTCCGCCTCCTAGGCAAGTCACCTCTGGCTGAGACCTCTGGGATCATGGGCCGACAATGGTGGGTCTTCCTTATTGTACGAGGGGTACCTATGGAACGGAAAAAAAATCAGATAATATTTTTTTTACCGCAAGATCACCGTTTATTCAAAGTATTCGCCCTCGCTACATATACACTTAACCCATCTTTTTAGGAGGAAATGAATTCCTTTGCGGTCAAACTCTTCTGTCTGTTCGCCGAACTAATCATCCGCCCATTTCGCGACTTCTTCGAAAGTTCCGAAGCGGGGATTGGTGAGGGCGCGAGCCATGGCTGAGAATAGGTAGTAGTCTGAAGGAGCGAGGTCTGGGGAATGGGCCGGGTGCTGGAAAACTTCCCAGCCCAACCCCTCCAGAGCTTCCCGCACGGGTTCCGATGTGTGGCATAATGCGTTGTCATGCAAGAGGATGATGCGGTCCCGACTTTGATCTCGATTCGGTCGTTTTTCCCCCAATGGCCCGGTCCAAACTCATGAAGTGTGCCTGGTAACGTTCAGAACTAAGAGTTCCTCCTGGTTCCAGCAACTCGTAATGGATAACTCCCTTCACGTCCGGCCACACAGAGAGCATGGCTTTTTTTTCGAACCGATTTCGCTTCCCCGACACTGCTGCTTGCTCCCCGGGGTCAAGCCATGATTTTTTCCGTCCGGGATTATTGTAGTAGATGCACTTCTCATCGCTTGTGATGATTCGGTACAGAAAACTCTTCTTTCGGAACCTTCCCAGCAATGTTTGAGAGATGCTCAGTCGGTCGTTTTTTGTGGCTTCTCATCGTCAGTGAGCTGGTGGGGAACCCATCTTCCGAGCTTCGAAGTTTTCCTCTTTCCCTTGAGGCGTTGCGAGATTGTTTTCTGTGCAGCTCCCGAATTTTTGGCGAGTTCACCTTGCGTCTGGGTGTTCTCTTCGTCCAGCAAGTCTTGAAGGTCTTGATCGGAAAACTGTTCGACGGGTTTTCCCCGCGGTTCATGGCTGATGTCGAAACTCTTCGATTCGAACCTTGCGTACCACGCGTAAGACCGAGCTTTGCTCAGAGCTTGACCGCCATATGCCTCATTGAGGAGAGGATGTGCCTCACTTGCACACTTCTTCAAGTGGAAGGAGGAAATCAGGAAGTTCCGGATGACGCCCTTGTCGGGCACGAGTTTCAACTCGGGCGCTTATGTTCGATGCAATCCAGGGGCATTGAGCTGAGCGAGGCAAGAGCTATGATGCGAGCGCTCAATGGAAGGCAGCTAATTGTAAGCAAGACCACTCACGAGCGCGCTCCGGGTTCCGACAGAGATCATCGTCATCATTGAATTCTCCCGCCGACACTCGACGCACACTGCACACTCGACGACACTTGCCGTCTCTTCTGTGAGATTCTGCATCATTATTCTACGTGAGCCTCATGCATCGGGGTCACGAAACCACCAACTAGAACAGTGCCGAACGAAGATATCTCACGCATACAGAGAATCATAGAAAAGGTACGCCGTTCGATCTTCCGAACGTGCAATGATAGGCTCCGGTCTTTAACAGACGGAAATACCATGTTCTCCCTCACACCGCGGATCGTCCGTCGACATCTGACGATCGATCGAGCAGAGGAAGACTGATTCTCCTGACAGGGTGCATCGGGTCATTCACAAGGACTGAGGGAAAGCCCATGAGCTGCCTCCATTCATATGCGGGAAGGCTAACGTTATCACTGATGGGATTCTCATGCGTGGGGGCTGACGGATGATTTGTTTCAGATGTCTTGTTCTCGTGATCCGGACTCGGATATCGAGGATGATATCCACATAATAGCTTCGGATGATGAGGATCTGGAATTAGTGGAAGAGCTAGATGGGGGCGAAGCATTCCATTCGGGGAGCGACGATGAATCCGAATCACAGGACGCCGATAGTGAGTGGTGCATACATACATAAGATCTTCCCTATACTGGGAGCTCCTCCGTGGTTGAGCAATAGCGCAATATTATTTTCGCCTCGTCATCCGCAGCTATGGATTTAGACAATAGAGTCGTTTTCCAACCGTCGAGAGACGATTCAATTCGAACACTCGAGGGACACACTGATGCCATCTTCGCCGTTGAAGTTTCTGCATCGGGACAATTACTTGTCTCGGGAGGAAAGGACGATCGCGCCCGGCTATGGGATTCCACCGGGCAGGAGGTTCTCGAGTTCGCTCCTTTCAAAGACTCGGTCATTCACGTCGGCTTCAGTAAAGATGAGAAGTTCGTGATGGCAGCTGACATGGCAGGCAAAGTGAGTTGATGTACATGTTGGCCAAGTGTGCTCACAAGAACGGGGATTCTCGCGTGTCCCTCGTCCCAGGTTGTCAAGCCTGGACGAAGTACCTACTAAACTTTCGACCCGCAAGGTGCAAGTGTACGACGTTCAGTCGAGGGGGTCAGTCTTCGAAGCGGAAGTCGACGACATCACATGGACAGCTTGGCATCCCTCGGCGGCCGCCCTCGTCGCCGGTACTCAGGATGGCTCAATATGGCTATGGCTGATCCCTCACGGCCACACTAAAACACTGCCAAGTTCTGGAGAAACCACGACCAGCGGCACGTTCCTCAGTGATGGGAAGAGGATCGTTGCAGGGTGAGTGAATAAATCACAGGTCGTAGTAAGGGCACCGTCTTCAATGCCGAATGCCTCTGCGTACGGGTGATATCCATCGCAGGATGAAGGTACTCCGAGAGAGAATGAATGATACTCCGAGAGAGAATAAAGCCACCTAGATCCCGAGCTCTTATCGCGGTAATAAGACTTCGAACTCTCTCTCTCTCTCTCTCTAGTTACGCAGACGGCTGCCTGAGGCTGTGGGACCTGAAGACCTGTCAAGCCTTATCCACAATATCCAAGCTGCACGAAGGCGAAATACTTTGTGTGGACGTGAACTCGAATGGCGTGGTGGCTACCGGAGGCACGGATGGGCTTAAATTCGCCAGCGTAATAACCGGTGAGGCTGATTGATCACTCTGCTAAACTGTCGCTCTGATGAGGCGCCTCATCGAGTCTTGCGAGCCTGATTTACGGAATCGTTTCAGGGAAATCCATCCTGTCGCTGAACGAGTTCGAGGATTGCGTGGAATCAGTGAAATTCTCCAGCAATAACAGTTGGTTGGCGGCTGGCAGCCTCGATGGTAGCTTCGTTATCTGGGATGTGGCCGCAGGTCGTCAGAGACACAGGGTGCAGCTCGGAAATGAAAGTGGAATCTGTAAATTAGCTTGGGCAGGACCGGATCGCGTGCTTGTGGCCTCCCTCGACGGTGAGCGATCAGTAATGCGGAGCTCAATCGGCGATTCTTAGATTTGCATCCACGGTTACTCGAGGGAGAACGCTTTCAGGTAAAACGCGTGAATACGACGCTCGTTCCGGGGACCTTGTGAGATCTTGGGAGGGACACACGAGTAATCTGCTCGATCTCAGCGTCGCGGGCACAATATTCGCTACATCATCTGAAGACAGAACCGTGAAGATATTCGATAGAATGCTCAGATAAATGTATCGTACTGACGCAGGGTTTCTGCTCTTTGGTCTGTCTCCGAAACTGAATGAGTGCCTTCGCTGGAAATTCGGGCGAGGGAGCTGGCGATTCGTCTCCGCGAGAAATCAGGGTCGACATTGGGCCAGGGTTGGGTTGGCGTGAGAAGTATGCATACGCTTCCAGAATTTTTCGAGAGCCCGTTCAGACGCCAGGAAAATCAAGTGATAAGGAAAAAAATCCCGCGATTGATCTCGTCTCTCGAGAGCCGTGGTCAGATTCGACGCGGAGGATCGAAATGCCCTTCACGTAGGCAGGACCACGGGTTTTCGATTCCCTCCGCTAACGACTACAGCTTCGTATTCGGCGGGCAAGCAGACCGAGGACCGTGAGCGAATCATTTGCCCCCTAGAGTTCGGTCAACTCGCGCATCTTCAAGTTCGCCTTTCAGTAGTCATAAGTCATAAGCGAGTTTTATCTCTGACATGATCTCAATATTCAACATGCTATCGAATCGAACAATTGCAATTGATCTCGGCGCGTATCGCCGCTCTACGTTCTCTATCATATAGTCCACGACGACTCGCTTCTCCTCCGCAGATGTGAAGAGCTTCCTTCCGAACCGGCCCTCTGTTTCATCCACCGTATTTTTCCTGTAAGGGGCAAGATGATCATTTCGACGCTCCCTGTCGATCATAACCCTGAGCTATATTTGCTGGAATGTGCGTTTCGGTGGCGAAGTTCGCGATCGGAGTACCTCAGAGAAGAGGGATGTTTGTCGGTGAGGGGAAAAGATTTCGCTACGAGGGCGACATCAATGGAAGCTAACAGAGGACATCGAAAACAGCGTGCAGCGTGCCCGACGTGCTAAAGGTCCTAGAAGCAAAAAGGCAAGGCAATGAGAAACTATTAGTGAAGACTTGCGACCGAAACCAAGCTGTCGGCATCCTTCTGCGAGCTGACGGTCGTTCCATAACACATCTCAAGAGTCATAAGCAAGACAGACACCGTAGAAAGAACACAAGCAGTTAGCCTCAGGAGGGAACCACGACACCATGAAATGACTCAGGTCCTATCGGAGGGCCCGCGTGCAGTTGTCAGGAATGACAAGGGGACTCCTCCCATGATTTCGATTTGTTGGGAATGGGAGGGGAGGTCGGGCTGAAATGAATTGCGACGCTGGCTTGGGAGAGAGGGCTGCCATCTACGACTACCCTCGGCCCTCAGGCCCCGACTTACTCCTCCCCAGATGAATAATGATCAGCGCCCGCCGTGGAAGCACTCATCCATATCCTCCTCACTGTTTCCGCTGCTTGCATACAATAATACATAGGTAAGTTTGGGCTCAGTATGCTTGGCGTAGTCCCGAGAGCTCTCGCGACGGGGAGCAGCTGCACAGAATCAATGATTCTGTGAGATTCCCGCAATCTGATCCAAGCTTTGTTTACTATCATCATACACTTGCACATCCTCGCCAACGACTTGAGATTATCATATCATTGATGCGAGTTAGTTGCAGGCCCCTCTGATTCATTCGGTCTACTCACATTGTACCCTTTCTTAAGAATTCGACAGAGACAATAGAATGCTCTCGTTAGAATAAAACTGAAGCATAACTCTCGCCGAAGGAGGCACACATGCATCACGGGTCGAGCCCGCACCTGCGAGATTCCGTTCCCTCACTTGCTAGAGGCTTACCTGAAGACTGCTCATGACACCCGATGCTATCGAAGATAGTCTGCTGGCTACCTTCGTGGCACCATCTCGCAGGCCCTCTTTAATCTCGTATAGATTCGGCGTATGAGACGACAACGACCCTGTGGAGCTTCCCGCGTTTTGACCATCTCCGAAGTAGTCCGAGGATGAGATCGAATTCGAACCTTCGAATCGTGATAGATTCGCTCGAGTCTCGAACTGTGGACGCATTCAGGGAACGTATTCAGAGATTGACCCTCGGACTCATCCTTTTCATACAGTATCGAATACCAGTTGAGCGAGACTTCGAAAACTCACGTCATTCGAGTGATCACCACCGAAAAACTGCTCCGAACTGATTGACTTCGCGTTGGCGAATTTCTTCACAGCCTCCTCTGAAGCTACTTTGGATGTGGCCGTCATCGAGTCCATGGTCGCAGATTTAGGCAGGCGTGTTGCGATCGCCTGGTGGAGAGGAGCAGAGAATTCCCATTGGAGGCGCATCCATCAGAAGCAAAAGAAAATTAGCATCAGCGATTGAAAAAGAGCTAGCTTACAGCAGCAGATGTAGTCTTGGCACTTGCGGGCGTTGCGGCGGAATTTTTCCGTGCCGCACTTTTCTCTACGAACTCATCGAGCCAATTGTCGCCGGAGCTCTCGGTCTTCTGTCCAAGCGTCCACTCATCGCTAGCTTCCCAATCGCCTTCGGAGCGACGAACCCAGTTAGAATACTTTCGCACCATATGCGCCCGGGATGCAGCCAGCTTGACAATGATAGTCTTCATGGAGCTGCTCACCGTTCTTGTTCGTTTTCGGGAATGGTGAGTCGCAGTACTTCGGGGGGCCTCCGAAGCCGAGACTCTTCAGCGAGTTCACAATTTCGAATTCGCCGTCAGAGCTATCGAAAAATGTGGATTTCTTCTTCGAAGCCTTCTCTGGCTCTTCCTGCTGACTGATGATGGTCATGTCCGACATGGCGGAATGAGATACTCCATGACCGCTGACGAAACCCATGCCTGGAATCCGACCATCCGGCCGTACTCTCGTTAGATGCCCGTAGTCAAATCTCTAGCGTGTTGCATGGCCTTCAGGGGACTCACCTAATCGCTCCACTTGCTCTGCCCTCTTCGGATCCAGGGTGCGGAACTGTTCCTCTTTTTTCTTCTGCTGTTCCGAAAGTTCTTGATACGCGAGGCGCATGCTGGCTCTGTTCGAGATCAAGTTTGAGTGAGTATCGGATGAAATGAGTACGAAAATTAGGGGGGCGCCTTCGAAAAAGAAGATATCTACAGAATCGGATCGCTGAGGAAGCTGTCGGATCAATCGCTGGAATCCCTCCCGGAGGCATGGAGAGGGAGCTCCTGCTTCCGAGCTATTCTTCCCGTCCGGAGCGATCGAGTACTCCACAGAGAGCAGCTACCAAGTCATCGACTTTCCCTGTACCGCGGCAAGAATCCAGCTACAGCGACAGCTTGACGAATGCCCAGTGACCTTCAGCAGGTATTTTTCTCTTCCAGCGACCAATTGACTTTTCCGTCCAGACGTGCTCACGGGTAGGAGGAATATACTTAAGTCCTTCAGAGATCCCGACTCCGGAGAGCTTCATCTCCACAAGCGTCCCGTCAGAAGATTCAACAACTGGATATATCCCTCCGCGCGTCGAACACGGTGTCGTCCCTCTTGTACCTCTGCTAAAAGTCACTCGCAGTGATTCATAGGGGTGCTTGGGTAGCTCACGGGATGGAGTGAATAGTTGGCGAGACGCGTCCGTACCTCAGCCCATGAATCTGCCAGACGAGTCGCTCAACTCGTTCATTTCAAGCAAGCATGAGTAGCAGAAGTAGCGCTATCTCCCGCGCACTGAGAGACGAGCTATCCAGGGGCAGCTGCAGCGGCAGAAGAAGCGGCTTATGGTCTTCGGCCAGGTCGACCGTGAGAAGCCTTGCTCGACAAGCCAAGCACAAGTCAAAGTTCTGCGTTTTCACCGGATTGTGTTCCCAGCGAAACTCATACGTGAGCCACGCAATATATATGTATCGAAGCACCCGGGCGGCCTTTCATGTAGGTTTCTTGGAGTCCCTTTCGAATCGCTTTCATTATCCCCCTGAATCGTTCAGTGTTCAGGGTCAAGTCGCTACCACAAGGCGCTGCGTTTTTGTCGAAGGAGTGTCAGAGTTCAGCCTTGCTTTACGATATCGTACGATTCGAATTCGGGCGTGACTCTGTGGCGTCCAGATTTCAGAAAAAGTGATTCAATCCTTGTTCGGACATACGGGATGGCCGACGAGTAACTCACTGCATGGGATCATTGCCTGTCTCGATTGGAATCATCGTCATCGTTCTTTGGTATGCGTCGGATACCCGATTGAACACAGCTATAGCGAAGGGAAGAGCGAACTCCAAGTACGAGTCGAACTCTGATTCTGAGAACAGGGATTCTCTTTCGACATTTGATGACCGAGTCACGGCACCGGGAGGAATTCGGATCGAAGCTCCAAGTGAAAGAACGACAATCGGGATCAACTCACATTTGCTTCTCCTTCTGTTCTTTCGTCTGCGCGACTTGCAGTTTCTGATTGGCTTCCATTTGGGCCTTGAGTTCCTCCTGCATTTTTGCTTCTCTTTCCAGTTCATCGAAGTTTACGCTAGCTTTCTGCGCACCTAAGCCGCCAGCTTTCCTGGCTCCGAGCTGAGAGAGTCCAACCATTAGAGGGGAGGATAATCCAAGGGAAAAGAAGCGGGTACCCCTCGAACCCTCACGAAGCAAACTTACGCCACCACCGATCCTCCTTGCACCGAGAACGCCAGAGATTTTCTTGGCCCCTAATGAACTTCTGGAATTATCTGGAATGCTGCTTGACTCGGATTTGGGCTGGGTTTTTCCAAAAATATCGTCGTTGTTGTTGTTGAGGACATTGTTGCTAAAAAGAGATTCTTCGGGCGCATCCAAAACCTGTGAATAAAATCGTTCAGAAGTCAATTATTCTGCATCGAACCCGCATCGTCTTGGGTCGCTTTCAGAAGCACAGCGATGTCAATTGACCTTTGTGCTTACCTTCGGCTGCTTCGGTTCGAGAGAAGAGTGCTCTTCGAAAAAATCGAAGGACTCTTCTTTGCCATCCAGGTCGGTACGCGAAGCCGGGTCGGTTGATTCGTCAATCCATAGCTTTGTCCCGTGAGTTTTCATTGCCTGGATTGCCTGGATGGAGAGGAACGCTTTGGAGGGCAATCATGATCACGACGTGATCGCCTTCAATATCGAGCGTCGGAACGGGAGGACGTAGCCAGGGATGCCTACCGAGTTATGCAGTTTCTCTCTATACAAAGCCGCGGCCCTGCTGTTATATTTCTGCTGAGCATCGATTTGGTGACCACTGATCCCATGTTGAGCAAAATACGATGATGCAGCCGCGTTGCCTCCGAGTTGCATCGAGCGCAGCTGGACCTTCGTTCGGAGGAAATGCTTTAGAACGAATCAAATAGAACGCGATTCTGGACTATCTCAGATGTAAGCGATGGGGATCAACGCCGATGAAGGATGCCCGATTCGGCTTACCCAGGAGTAGGTTGTGTCTAAGTTGGTAGATCTCACAAAACTGAGGTGAACTCCGAGGCCGCGATGAACTGCTGAACAGTCGATGCAGATGAAAACTCCGTAGGTCACCGAGCTCCACGTAGGATTTTTCGCGCCGCAGTCGAAGCATTGCTGGACGAGAAGAGAAACTTCTTGGTTAGAAGAGCCTGTCTTCGATCGAATAGAAGTCAGCGAGAAACGGATCTGTCGGAGCTTGTGATGATGTTCGAAGCTCGCACCGAGTTCCAAACAGCCTGATACGGGTTGTCTCGAAAAACTTCCCGGGCGCACCGCAAGACATCAGAGACAAAGCGTCGACAGTCACGGATGGGCAGGATGGAGGTATCCGAAAAGTTTTGGACTCATAATCGGAAACATGACTCTCGTCGCGATCGCAGACTATGCATCGGGATGGAATAAGCGTTCCGTTCGATTGATGTCGGGTATTTCCGCAACTGAAGTCGAATAAAGTATCTCCGGATATAAATGACCCTGGAGCACATGGCGTATCGAATAGACGAAATAATCAAAATTTCGGTTTCGGAGAGCCGGAAAATGTGAAGAGCGTGAGACTATCGCGGGAGGTGTTCGGTCAAACAGCTGTCCATCGAGCTTGTGGTATGTGAGGTTTTGAAGCGGGGATTACCCCCGTGGAGCAAGATTTTTTCCACGTCGTGAGCTCACCTTATTCGTCGGAATACTCCGCAAACGCTTGAATACCGCTGTGATGTCATTTTTACTCGGATTCCCCGCCATGCTGAACCTCCGAAGGGCTACAACTAGTTTCGATGGAAGGCTGACGTTGCCCTATGTATGAGAAGACATCCCTAGCCAGTGTCTCTGTCGTTCCCTAGATGCTGTCCCTAGATCCGTCCCCAGATGTGCTTAGCAGCGTAACTATTCCCTTCCCGAAACTCAATGATGATCGAATTAGAGATCATGACACTCATGGGGAGGGGCTCGGAATTTCGAATTTGTCAAATTTCGACTCCCGAGTCCGGAGTCATCTGAGAGAGGAACCCATTCTCAAGACGAGCTAAATGCTGAGCTGCTCCAGGGTCAAGAGTTAAGAGCCGAACCAGCTCCAAAACGCTCGAAATTCGAATTGATATCTGTATCTTCTCTCGTTACTCGGTACCTGTCGATAGCTGCACTCTCGGAAAACACAATAGAGCGAGAAGCAATCAGGAGCGGAATGAATGTCCGACAAGAATGGCCGGCTCCTCATTCTCATCCCACAAAGATTTACGATTGATCACGACGTTCACAGGCGAGGAAAGACGAAACCCAACATATCTCACGGCTCAGACGGGCATTGAGACAGAGACGGTTCCTGTCCGAAGTCGCCTCATTCCCCCGCAGTGGTTCGTGCACCACTCGAAGGAATACTTCCCAGAGTTTATTGGCCGCAGTACATACGCGGCTTAAATGCTTTATGCATTAGTAAGCGGATGTTCATGATTCCTCGTTCAGAGGTTTTTTTTTGTGAATCAGCAGGTATCGGGATGGCAACAGGAATCGATCGGACTAGGCGAAAGAAGAGATTGAAGATTCGCCGAACGGTACCCGAGACTACGCTGGAGCCGAGGAGGGGTTTGAGCGGGGTCTCCCGTAGTCAAGCATCTTCGGCCATACCCCTGTTCGAATAGCCCACGCGATCCCAGATGAGGCCTTTGCGAGACCTGTTGTATCTTGTGACCGTTTTGAGGCCAGGAGTAATGATATCAGAAAATTCTTATTGGTACCTCTGGGTGCGTATGGAAGCAAGAGAAGTCACCCTTGCTCGTCGTGAACGCATTTTAAATGGTATCACATGCATGACATTGCTCTGAAGTCACCTTGAGGAAATTCCGACTGAGTAACAATAGACTCCAAGCTGGATGTATCATAATTCGTTCCGTGTGCGAGATCGCGATCAAAGAAGGTTCCTTTCGCCCCATCTCACCTCACACAGAACCCCGATTCACCTCTCAGAACTTGCGGACTCATCAGTCAGAGGAGAACATGCCGTTATAATTATCGCAAACAGAGCGCGTATCTGTCGAGGAATAGCCGTTCTCGCATCATCGCTGAGTTAGTGCGAACCCTCAATGCGTATCGTCTTCTAGAAGATTCAACGCGAGGCAAGCGTCTCGATGGGTCTCATAGACTTCGCTGTTCACTGATCTGACTCAGGTCTTGGAAGGAATGCGGCCCTCCAATCTGTATCAGCGATTCAGCAGTAGCCGACAATGAAAACATTCTAGATTCTTGAGAGGAACCGTGTCGAGCCGCATCCGCCCCAATGCATCGGCCGAATATGAACCGGAATGTCCCCCAGCCGGCTAGCCTTATCGACGCCGGGAGGCTTTTGCCCGAGCATTCTATGTGTGAAAGTTCTATGGCGCAGAAGGGCGATCTCGCGAACGGATCATTCGCGCACAACGAGGCGGAGGTTGTTGGAGTTGAGTGCGTTGCTGTCGACGATTTCGAATGCCAGTCTTGGCAGCGAAGTGAACTTGCTGTCAATTTCCGAATTGCACAGTCAAGTGAGCTAGCGTCGGCGTCGGGTATCGCTCGTGCATCTCCCACTCCGGAGATCGCCGTTTATATCTATCAATCAAAGGAGAGAATTTATTCGTACCTATATTCATCACCAGCCTGGGAAAGATTTTCCGGTTAAAAGTAGTGTGACACCTAGATATTTTAATCGGTTCACGAAACATAGCGAGTGCAAGCCGATGTGTAGAAGATCGTCGGCGGACAGGTTTCCTCCTCTCCTGAACTTGACGGCTTCCGTCGTTCCCTCGTTGATCGTAGGTCCGAGATGCTCTGACGCTGTTCGAAGTCTGTGTAATGCCTGTAATGTAATTGTACGTGAAATCGGCTTCTTCCATGGAGGACAACGTCGTCGGCATACATGATCGATCGCACCCAACTTCCCTTACCCTGGATCCTCGCCGGTAGGTCCGTCAGGAGTACGGAGAATAGCAACGGTGATAAGGAGTCCCCTCGTGGATAGCCCGATGTCTGTAGAAAAGGGGGGAGCTCAGATATCCCGTCGTCGATCGTAATCGGGTTGGGTTGAAGGATGGACGAGAGCAGCCGCAGGATCTTAGGTGGGACTCCAACGTCCGCTAGAATCTGGAGAACCTTGTCCCTGGGTGCTGAGTCGAACGCAGCTTCATAATCCACGAATACCGCATATAGGAACGATTTCGGTTGTGCGAGAGTTTTGTCAATATCTTCCATGAGAATCTGACATGCAGTCGATGTCGAGTGTCCGTCACGAAAAGCGTGTTGCTCTTATGGGATCACATCGAGGTTCTCAAGGAAAGATGATAGGCGTCTGGTGAGCAGGCTCGCGAGATGTTTGTAGCAGATGTTTTTCTTGGCGATTCCCCGCCAGGAGTCGGGTCTCGATGGGTCACCCTTTCCCTTGGGAATGATTGGAAGTAGGGCCTCCCGCCAGTCCAAGGGCACCTGTCCATCTGCGAGACATTGATTGAAGAGAGCCCTCCCGCACGGCGCGAGGAATGCTGCGTCTCTCAGGTGCTTGTTTCGCAAGCCGTCCGGGCCGGGGGCCTTTCTGGAGCGAGATGTCGTAGAGATGATGCGACTTCCTCTAGTGTGAAATCGCTCTCGAGAAACTCTGCTTCGCCTGTCGACCTTATGGTCAAGCGCTGTGGCACAGCTCGGACTTACTCGCGGCACGAGTCAGTGGAGGCTAGGATGGCTCTGAAGTAATTCATCAGTTGCTCCTTCGCTACCGGGCAGGCGCGAGTATATGGTCTAGGAATCCACTTGTACGGCAAGCGTTCGGCAAGTTCGATCAGCGCTCTCTCTCTCTTCCAGATGACGTAGCCTTTGTGTTCTGTAGGTCTTCCTGCACAAGGTCTTGAAGTAGACTGCGAGCGGTTTGAGCATGAGGTATCTCCCGGCAAGCGTCAAGCGCTTTGACCTCTCCGCACGGTTTGGCAGATGGAATCAAACCAGGGTTGTCCTGTTCTTGTCGGCCTCTTGGTGATGCTTGCTCGAAAAATATCCGTCAACTGTCTGGAGAAGTCCTCGATGTCTATACGTTCGGGAACGGGAAGAACGGCGTGTGACAGATCAAGGAGGATGGTGATACCGACTGTCTTCACGGTCATGGATTTCCACAGGTCCTGAAAAGGAAAAAGAGCGATGCATACACCGGGGTTCTATTCAAAAAATCGGGAGTTTCCACTCCGTGCCGCGGCGGACCGTGTCGAAAAGCCGCTCGGAGCGATGGCTCGAAACTTCCAAATGTTTTGAAAAAAAGGACAACGTCGCCCCTCGTCGAGTCTTCCTCAAAAAAAAACCCTGTCGTTTTGATGCGAAACCCCGGAGGGCTGCCCCTCGAAGTCCTAAGAAAAGTGCTGCCCCCGCTTCCCTCCCGCCCCCATCGCCATATACCGTTGTTATCGCACATTGTTGCTAGTCTACTTCGTTCCGTTTATGCAGCCCCGCTCGCAAATAATCCTCGGGGAAAATACTGTCCTTCAGTCCGACACGCTCCGCAGTCTCGTGCCACAGATCCTCGAAATCTGCCTCTTCTTCGCAGATTTCTCCATCACTGTGATCTCCAGGCCTGATGAAGCCACTGTGACACCAACATCGGATGATTGTTGGCCCAGATATCTCAGTCCAGGCTGATGCAATCATGAACATGGCCTGCTTCACGTCAATTTTACACTCCTTGTCGATATCCAAGTCGTTGAGGATTATGCGGGGCAAAGTCGTTCGGTAACGAGTCTTTAGAGCTCGTATGATCCCGAGATCGAGTGGTTGAAAGATCGATGTGCAATTAGGTGGGAAGTATTCTACTCGGACATTGGAGAGGCGCGGAACAGCGTTATGAGCCGAACAATTATCGACAAGAAGAAGGATCCGTCGGTCTTCCCGCTTCATGTCCCGGTCGAGTGCTACCAACCATTCACTGAAGAGCGTCCGAGTCATCCATGCCTTTTTATTGCCACGGTACTGGCAGGGTAAAGATCGTACATTCTTCAAACAACGCGGTCTTTCTGACCGCCCGATGACGAGAGGCCTTCTCTTGTCCGTGCCGCTCGCGTTGCAAGTTGCAACATAACAGCACCGTCAATCTTGCTTTAGACTCCTTGCCTCCCGCGCAAGATTCCCCCTTGACAACTAAGGATCGCTCCGTTAACAACTGGAAGAACAAGCCCGTCTCGTCGGCGTTGTACACATCATTGAGGTCGTAGTCGGCAATAATGTCCTTTATCTGGTTCTCTCGCCATTCTCTCGCTGTCTCCGTCGGAGCAGCGGCAGATTCTCCGCAGATGACTTTGCTGCGGATTCCGTAGCGTTCGCGGGAGCGGAATAACCAGCCCTCACTCGCTCGGAAATCGTCATGGCCTAATGCTCGAGCAAACTCCAGTGATTTCTGCCGGAGCAGAGGACCTGAGACCGGTAGATCCCTCGATCGCACCTCCCTCAACCAGATGTAGGTCGCTCCGTCGATATCTTCATGCTTCGCAGTTCTCAATCGCTTGCGGAACGGATCAAAGCACAAGTTCTGAGCCGGATCCTCGATTTTCTCTTCATCTCTGATGAAAGTCGAAAGCGTGGGTTTGCTAATTTGGAACTCGGCAGCGATTCCGATTTTTTTCCTCCCAGCTTTCACTTGAGCTACCACCCTCTTCTTGGAGTCCAGAGAATATTGTTGTCTCTTCCGCTTCGACTGTTGCTCCATGCTCCTTCGAACCGACACATCCAAATCCTTTCCCACAAGCAGGCGAGACTTGATGAATCGATCACCGACAATTGCGAAGCCGTAATTC